GCTAGCCCATCTTAGCTGAGCACTTCAGTGTTTGTGAGTTAAGAAGGATCTAGCCTTGCTGTGCTTATGGTTGTGCCTACTAACTTGAGAGGCTGAAGAGCCTTTCTCTGATCATTTCTGATGGATAGCATTATTATTGTTAGAAGTGGAAAGGCTGCTAACTGCAGAGTTTATTTACCTGTCTTCTGGGAGGAGGTGGCACACGGTTGTCCATCTAAAGGCTCTGTAAATATTTAAGCAACACTATAGTGAGGTACGAGGCAAATTCCCTTTGAAATATTTTATCTTCAATATAGAAGGCATACATAAGCCTATTTTGAGAATAAGAGTCCTTTGTATTCTATATGCTTCTTTTTTTCCGAAAGATTATTTATACTGTTCCAATCTGGCTTCCTTCCCCAGCCCCTGTAGGCAAAGCCACCAGTGGTTGTGACCTTTTATACAGAACTTCTTTTGAGAACAGAGGAGCCCCATCAGTGCGGTGAGAGCAAAATGTGGTATTTGGTCTCTGCAATTCTTCCACAAAATCATTCTTTGTGGATCTAGCCTGTACATCAGAGAGAATTTTATCTAAACCGATTTAACATTAGGGAGGAGGGTTAAACAGCACTGGTATTTTTATATGTAGAGGTTAGTAATTTATCACTACAAGTTTTACAATACATTAATTATCAGAACAATTGGGTCTATTGAATGGATCTGAGGCAAAAGCCACATGTTATCAGATTAAATTTAGAGTTGTGTAATTTTCTCATAGCCCTTCCCTTGGAAGCCCTGCTGCTTCCTGTATATGATGAGGTCTGGCAGCGAGGTTAACCCTGACCCATGAGTATTCTATATGGGCTTGTTCATTTTTGCCACATTCTTTCAGTTTAAATTTAGATTTGCTGGCAGCTATTACGCCTATTGCAACAAGCTTCATGGGCAAAACACTGGAACAAATATATATGCCTTTTATCATAGATGTTTTTGCTGAATAAGATTAGTGAAGAACACTTGAAAGCTGAGAAACAGTGCAGAAGCCTTTGGTCCTAAAAGACGCAAATAGTTGAATGTCTGGAATATATTTACTTCTCAATCTAAGAAATGAACAAATAATTGTATAGGTGATGGACTATTATCGTGTACACAGTTTTTACCTTTGTAAGTTGTTATTGGTAGCAGTGAAATTTCAGCTGTGTATGTGAGCACAAATTCTGGATATAAAAGTGTGTGCAACAAAAACCTTGAGATTGCTGTTCAGAAACAAGTTGTGACTGCAGGAGGATTTTGAGTTAGGCTTATCACTAGAAGTGTCTTGTCAATAGCTGTGAAGCATAACAGCTGCAGTAATAACTGCTTGAAGTTTAAGGAAGTGTGTACCACTTAGTTATGTATTAACACAGAGATTAATACCTCTTTGTTTTATGTTTTTCATCTTTTTTATTGTGTAGAAAACTACATGGAACTTGAGAAATCCACTTGACAGAGCAGTCCACATTTAAGACTCACATGTCATTCTCTGCTTAATATATCATGGGCTTCACAGACAGGGTCACTCTGCCTTGAAAAAAAAAACATTTAACAAGGGATTCTCTGGTCTTATTTTCTAGTACTGTTCATCTGCCCAGAGTTGTCCAACATGTAACACAAAAAAATATTCCCATAATGCATTTTTGTCTCTAAACTTCGCAGGTTCTTCAGTCAGTATTCCCATGCTCAGTGAGTGACTCCAACAAATAAAGAAGGCCTTGAAAGTGTAGGAAATGTGTTCTCCCTGAGCACGTTTTTAGGGAGAGAAACTGAATAAAAAGGCCCTGCATTATTAGGTACTTTCGACTCCCATTTTTTCCCTCCTGACGGGCAAGATACAAAACCTTCCAATGCTCTGACCCCACTGCCTCTGCAGTTGCCATGGACAGGATACTCTGAAATTCTGAGTGTTTCTATCGAGTCCAACCCAGTTCCCGGGGTGAAACACTGAGGGGCTATGTTCCTCCTGAATGGATTAGGCAGAATTTATTCTCTTGTTGGAAGTCCTACTGTGTGAGCTGTATATTTCTGAATGTAAGTAGCATCGTGTTTCAACAGGAATTTCAGGCAACCTTTGAAATACGTAGCCAATCAGCGTTTATTCCAAGTGGCACTTTTGTGCTGGATTTCCAATTAGTCAATGGTATTTGTTAAGTAGGCCCGTTTAGCTTTATCTTGAAGGATAATGAAAAGCCATCTTTTTCCTCATCCCCTTCATTCGGTAAACACAATATAGAGTCTTACTGAACTAGAAAGGATGGAACTTAATGGAGAAAAATAGGAGAGTTGGAGTACAGGGAAACTCTACAGAACTTGAATTTGTAAGAAATAACTATGGTTTGAGTTCAGTTACTGTAAAAGAAGAAATTTTTAAAAATAGATAACTCATTTAGAAGTGTTACAGAGCATTGATGAATGCTGGAAGTATTGGTCCAGTAGATATGTTTGTGAAGGCAGCAGCCAAATGTGCCTCTTAATGAAGCTGTACTGTAACATTTTATCTCATACATGAATTATTGCATGCACTTGGAATCTTCATAATATTCTTAAGCCTTTCTTAGTCTCTCCATGATTTTCCATCTTTGCTTTTTTTTAATGGAAAATTCTAAATAATTGAGGTACTTCTCTAAACCACTGAAATACTGAAATTACAGAGACTGTTTTGCACTTGTGCAAATCTCTCCCACTTTTTAATGAACTGAAAAGTAAAAATTCCTAATAGAACTTTCTATGTCACACACCGCATACGATTTCTGCATAGCTCACTGAAGTCAAAACACATTACATTCATTTTTGTATGTAATTGCTCCCTCAGAATTGTTTACCACTGCTAAGAAACTACATTCTTACAGCTTCTTTTGTTAAATTACATTTAAACAGCTTTGAGAACCAGAGCTTCCTATTTATTTCTGACAGATTTTCTACATTCATTTTTGCTGAGTTAGTTTGTGGATGTTTTTTGATCATTCTTTAGTATTGGAAAGATCAGTTCTTGAGGAAGCCTAACCAGAGGAAAATGTAGAATCTTAACTTGTTTAGAAAAGAGTACTGTAGAGATGCAACAACACATTTCCCATATAAGTTCACTTCACTCAGAAAGGATTCCACATGCTGAGTGTCTTTCGATACTCATTTTCTGTAGAACACCCTGTGTTTTACTTTAAGATATTTGGGAAGACACTGAGAAGTAATCATTTAATCTGTTTAAATAATTGTAATAGCTACAGACTTGAAATACAGGTTAACACTTTTAACAGCATTTCAGGAAGAATATTCAGTTAGAGCTCATTAAAAAAAAATAAAATCATAAATATTTGTAAAATTAACAGTAGAGTACTTAATTTTCTGTCTTTCAAAGGAATGTCTGCTAAAAGAATATCAGCCTCACTGAAGGGAACATGCTTCTGTAGGTCATGAGGGACAAGGTGTCTGAAGGACTGGGGGCTTATGCATAGTTATAGTGGTGTGGATGTGCAATTCTATTAGAAATTAGGTATGTCAGTTTAGTATTGAAATGAGCCTCATGGATTCTATTTGTAACACTTTGTTCTCCGATGGTGAGCAAATTACAATTTTCTTTGGGTTCTACTTGCTCAGTCTTCATGAGAGAACAAATCTCCACAAAGTTTTGTCAGATGAGAAGAAAAATAATATTATTCTAGCTCCTCCAAGTATTGTGGACTGTTGTTCTGCTGCTTTTGGGATTTTGTCAGATTGGTAATGTAATGTTGTTGTTTGTATGCTCAGACCATTAGATTTGGCTGGTACAATACGATCTTCCGTGCAAAAATATGTGACGTTTATGGAAGTAAGGGGGATGAAAGAACTAAAGAAGCTTCAGAACGGAGACTAATGAGTGGCCCTGCAGCTGCCCATGGTGACAGGGAGGTCATTGCAGCTACTTTTCTTTAGGAGTGTCTTCAATGAGGAAAATGAGGCACAGTGCAGCAGCATGCACTGAAATTGATATAAGAATTGTAGAATGATTAAGATTGGAAAAGACCACTGAGATCATCTAGTCCAACTGTCAGCCCATCACCACCATGCCCACTAAACCATGTCCCCGAGAAGGTGCTCTGGGGATATGTAAAAGAGAAAATGCTCAGTGGGAGTCACTAGATGGGACTTTGAGGGAACTAAGGTAAATAGAAGTATTTTTGACAGTTGCACTGCGGTCGTTTAAAGTTTCCTTTACATGGTGAAGCAGTTTAGGCAAAAAGAAAATGTATGCATGAAAACACAAAATGATTGGCAAGGGGCAATGGGCAGAAGCTGGAACACAGTAAGTTCCACACAAAGACAAAGAGGAACTTCTTTACCATGAGAGTGACGGAGCCCTGGAGCAGGCTGCCCAGTGAAGTTGTGTTGTATCTTTCTATGGAGATATTCAAGACCCATCTAGATGCTTACGTGTGTGTGACCTGCTGTAGGGAACCTGCACTAGCAGGGGGTCGGACTTGATCTACAGAGGCCCCTTCCAACCTCTAAAATTCTGTGATTCTGTGTGATCCTGTGAAAACATTTTGACCATCCAGGCAGATTTTCTTAATGGATAGGCAGAAGAAATCTACAAGACTTAGTCTGGATTCATAGGAAGGAATAAAATACAGTGTACATGATAACTTTCAGTCTTCTGATCCTTCAGATCCTTACTGATAGTATGCAATCAGTCAAGATGCTAAAATAGAAACAGCCTAAGAAGACATTAAAGTTATTTTGGTTCTTGGTCTTGGTCACGCTTAGTTTGAGCTGGCAGTAATTCACTCAAGATGAAGTGTTAGAAAGCCATTCAGATGTGCAGAGGTGGAGTGTGATCACTTGAGTATGTTTCAACAGAAGAGGAGAGGTAATTGAAGCTTTCTAAACGGAGAAAGTTACCCATAGACAGAGAAAACACTGGTTAGCTTTCTTCCAGACAGAAAAATGAGTCTTCAAGCCACAAAAAGCTTGAATGCATTAACATTTAATGTATATTTAATTTCTTTTAGACCCAATCAGAAAGAAGATTGGAATGGTCAGACTCTATGTCATGTCTTATGAAGAAACTGGAACAGCTGAATTTAGACATTGAAGAAGCTCTGAGTGCTAGCTCATCTCCCTCCAGTACTCCTTCTACCACAAGGAACAAACAACTGGTAGGAATGTGTGTCATATGACACATTTTCTAATATTAGCTATCAGATGTTGGTCAAATAATAGTTTTCAGATCTCCTTGTGTTTCTGGATTAGTTGAGGAGGATTGTTTCAAGGATGAAGTAAGTTACCGTTTTGATTCAATAACAAAACATTTTGAGATGCTTGGACAACTACAGATCAGATAAACATGAGTGTCACAGGAATTGACTTGCAGGGTTTATGTCATGGCCTATAATATTCAGAGCTACTTTTTATTGGGGAATGTGGCTCTTGATTGCATTTGACACAGTTTCTCAAGGTAGAATATTGTGAAATTGAAAGTTCAATATTAGTGTATTCACACATGTCATATTTATATCAAGACACAAAAGCAAGGAAGACACTGTATATCTTCATTAAGAGTTAAATTAGTATTTTTTGTATTTCTTTCAGAGATGCATTCCTGTATTTAAGGATGCTTTATGGTGGCAATTTTTGTCAATTAAGGCAAACTGTTACCAAAGCTTTTAATTTGAAGGCAAATGGGATTAAGAAGGAATAATACAATTTTAGCATTTTTTTAACAAGTGAGATGCTTTTTTTTATAGAAATGAGTAACTGGAGAAGGAACAGTGTGAGAAGTAGGAGTGTTTGTTCTCTACTTTAGGCTGTGATTAAAATCAGTTCTTAAGATAGAGTTGTTTGGATTTGCAGCTCCACATGTTAGTGCTGGCATGAAATTCCTGGAAATTGTGCTTGTTTGAATGCTTTTCCCATCACTGCTGCTACATTTTGTAACAATAAATTCCTTAAGTAAACATCTGTGCGTGTTACGGTGTCCCTCAAGCTGGGGAGTTCAGAATCCTGCATCTTTCAGTGTTGTATTTTGCAGTATGCTTTTCCATATTCTGCAGTGACAGTGTTAGAAAATTGCCATGCTTGTCCCTCATTTCTTTCTTTCTGTACATTAGCAAGTCAGAACCAGCTTTTTCCAGCTAAATTTGTTTCATCACTCCTTTATCTCCGCTTGCCCTTCTGTTAATGGACAGTATTCTGTGTTCTTGTAGGAAACTGCTCAGTGGCTTTTGTCAAAATGCCATGGCAATGTATTCTGCTTTTCTGCCTGAAAGAGAGACCCAAGCCATCAGAATTCACGTACTTCCCTTTGTTACCCAAGTCAGATTTTGTTAACTGGTGATCCAGACACCATTTTATGATTTTATGACTGTGCCTATTCTCCTAAGGGAAAAGCCAGTTTGGTTAGGCAAAGGTGTTTGTAATCAAATAATTTCTCAGGAAGTGAATTATCTGCCCTAATTTAAACATCTAAGAGTTAGTTGCCTTTAAATGAGTTGACCTTAATGCCACTGTGGCCAGTAAGATAAATGGTACCCTGGCATGGCCAGCAGCTTGTGGGAGATTGTCTGATCTGGTGAAGCCGTATGTGAAGTACTGTGTCCAGTTCTGGCTCCTCAGTTCAAGAAAGACAGGGAACTTCTAGGCATAGTCCAGTGGTGGGTTACGAAGGTGGTTCGGATCTTGCAGCATCTCCCTTGTGAGGACAGGCTGAGAGACCTGGGGCTGTTCAGCGTGGAGAAGACTGAGTTGGGGTCTTATCAAGGCATACTTATAAACATTTCATGGGCAAGAGTCAGGAGAATAGGGCCAAGCTCTTTTTGGTGGTGCCCAATGACTGGACAAGGGGCAATGAGCATGAACTGGAACATATGGAATTCCATATAAACATGAGAAAAAAAATTATTTACTGTGAAAGTGGGAGAGCGTTGAAACAAGCTGCTAAGAGAGGTGGTGGAGTCTTCTCCTGCAATATTCAAAACCCACCTGAACGCTCTTCTGTTTAACGTAGGGAACCTGCTTTGAAGACAGACTAGATGACCTACAGAGGTCCAATTCAATCCTTACAATTCTGTGATACCCATGTAGTCAAAGAAGAGAAATACATCCTCCTAAACCTCTCCATGAATTTAATATGAAGAAATTGAATTTGGGATATCTCAAAACAGCAGTTGCAGTAAGGAAAAAAGAAAACAAACATTTTGTACAGCTACGTGACTAACTTCTATCAGTCCATCCCTCTTGGTCCATATTTCTTTATATAACTTACAATTTTTTTCCATTGGATGTTTTACTCCTTTCATTCATAATGAAACTTCAATAGGAAGAAGGTTTATTTCAAACATATGTTTACTAGCACAGGTTTTTATCTTATTTTCACTACATAAAGTAGGAATTGAAATGAGGAACAATGATTAAAAAGAGATCTGAGGAGAAATATTCACAAATGCAAGACCAACTGGTAGATCCAAGTTCTCAGAAGTTTGTGACTACTGCATGAGTTTTACCACATTGTTGCTCCCAGAATTGGTCTCTTTGGTGTGGGCAGTTTTAAATAGATGACTGTATTTGTTTGGTATGGCAAACGTTATATCTGAGGTATACATTCATAATTTAATCACTGGGTTCATGTAGTGAGTCAGTATATTTTCACCCTGTTCATGACAGCCTGTCCAGTGCATCAACACCCTCTGAGTAAATTATCTCCTCCCAATGTCTAAACTACATCTCCCTTTTTTTTAGTTTAAATCATTCCCCTTTGTCTGAGTCAGTCTCCCTTCTGTTTATAAGGGCTCCCTTCAAGCCCTGGAAGGCCCCAGTGAGGTCTCTCCAGGGCCTTCTCTTCTCCAAACTGAACAAGCTCAACTCCCTCAACTTTTCTTCACAGTAGAAGTGCTCCAGCCCTCTGGTGATCCTCTTTGCCCTTCTCTGAATCCTCTCCAAAAGCTTTGCATCCTTCCTATTCTGAGGCCCGCACACCCGGTTGCAGAACTCCAGATGGGGCCTCATGAGACAGAACAGATGAGGGCAATCCTCTCCCTCTCCCTGCTGGACACCCCTCTTTTGATGCAGCCCAGGATACTGTTGGCCTTCTGGGCTGCAAGAGCACACTGCTGGCTCATGTCCAGCTTCTTGTCCATCAGGACTCCCAAGTCCTTCTTCACAGAGTTGCTCTCAAGGAGTCCTTCCAGTCTTCGACCCAAGTGCAACACCATGCATTTGACCTTGTAGAATCTCATTATATTCACATGGGCTCAGTTTTCAGGTCTGCCCAAGTCCCTCATGATGACATCCCTTCCTTCTGTTTTTTTAAGCCGCACCACTCAGCTTAGTGTCATCTGCAAATTTGAGGGTCCCACTGTCTGTGTCATTGACAGTGATGTCGATGAGAACTGGTCCCACTTGTGACCAACCTCTAGCAAGACACAGAGCCATTGAACCACTCAGCCAGCCTTGTGCACTGAGTACTTCACCCTTAAAATCTGTATCTTTCCGATTTAGAGAAAAGAATGTGGTATGGGACCATATCAAAAGCTTTATCAGCAGAGGGAAAACAGCCTTACTGTAAGCAACGTTTCACTTATTTGATATATTTCTTTCATTTACGTTTGATGTCTGACACTCATTTTCACTACAGAAAAACAACAACAACAACAACAAAAAACCAGTGGATTTGAAGAAGTAAAATAACGTATTTTAGTTTTAGTCATTCATCATTCATGGAGAGTGACAGGGAAATTCTGTTTGATTGCAGTTACCCTGTCTAATATTAGAGAGCTGACTCTTGCTGAACAAAACTTAACTTACACATTCTCTCAATTATTTTGTAATAATATATTACCTATAAACGTTTTTGGACCGCATACTGAATCTTTTGTCAGCTTTGCAAAGCCTTCTCATTTTAAAGTCTGCAGAATACTCTAGCTGGGAACCATGCAGTTATAGACCAGCAGCAACTTTGTCCTCTTGTCAGCAAATGGGCTGGCTTTGACTGCAAATTACTGCCTAGGGCTGCTATGTGGTGTACCCATGATCCTGATTCTCTGATTGATCCCAACACAAATCCTGCTGGATTGCAGTTTGGCTTGCTCCTTGTTCACACACCTCATTGGTTTTTTTTTAGACGAATTAGTATACGTGGGGGAATGCTGTGCAAGTTCTCTTGTTTGTACTGAGTTTAGTGTGACCAGGTACACATGGGTCCTATATATTTTATTTTTTTCTTAAGTCCCATTTTAGATCATTTATCTTTTAAAAATCTGTATGGAAGTAAAGCTACTAAGTAAAACCTCCTGGGCCCTGGGGGACAAGGAAAAGAGGATTTAAAGGTTCAGAGTATGTAAGTTCAGGATCTTCAATTAAGTTAAATAAAAGAACGTAGAATCATGAATTTCAGTCAAATGACAGTTGTAAATAAATAAGATCATATATTGTGTAATGCGGAGATTATTCAGTTCCTTGATATTCAGGAAGATTCATTCTCCAGTTTTATCTCCTAGCTGTTAAGGAAGCCTCTTTACCCCAAGATGTGAAAATGATGCAGTGTGCATTTTTAAGAAAAAAGAGGTAAAAAGTCTACTTCACATCACAAGGGAAAAAAATGTTTTAAAAAGATAAAATTCCAATATTTTTATCTTGCAGTTCACATTTAAAATATTTATGACTTGCATTTATTTACAGGGTTTTTAAAATTCTCTTACAGTGCCCTGTTCAAGTGGAGACAAGCTCTTACAGTGATTATCAAGGAAAAGGATTGTGGAACCACAGAAGTGCAGACTACCAGGATTTAGACTGCTTACCTTACCCAGTATCAACTGGAGCACGGCCTAAACCTTTTGTAAGTAGCTGCTGAACACTCTCTGACTCTGAGATATTAAAAGCTGCTCCGAAAGTAATGCCTTCTATTCATTTCTGTGGAAACTACAGCAGATACAGTGAGATACAGAACACAGTGATAGAGCAAATTCTCAGCTACAAAACACTGTTTTTCAACATAGTCAACATTAGCTTTGCATTTTCATCAGCAATGAACAAGAGCCCGTATGTTGCACTTGTAAGAATCTACACAAGCAGAGGTGACCCACTTGTCACCGCTGCTGAAATGCACCATTCAGTTCCACACTGTGCACATGTCCACTGTTTGATCTCCATAAATGTTCAGCAAGCGTCAGTGGACATCAGTGTGTGTCATTTTTTCTGGATGGAGGAATTCAGCGACACTCCTTTGCTTCATCCACACTTCTGTGTCAGATGCCATTCTGTCAGACTGCCCATCTGCTGCCATCTGTCACACGTCAATAACAAGTAATGGAATACTGGTGGGAAGGTTCATTCCCTACTGCCCTACCACCATCATCTGCCTCTCATGTCGTGGACCAACATAATTAAGCAGGAGGCATTACTTTCAGAACAGTCTTGACTGGAGGAGTCCAGTATGCATAATGAGCACAGATGAAAGTTAATTCAGTATTTGGTTTCCAGGGCTGTGGGATTCATCTCACCTGATGTTGGACAACTGTAAAGTAGAGTTCTACATCTGAACCATTTTCTTGAACTGCCATTATAATCAGGGGAAACAGGCTTTTCTGACAAGTAAATGGTTTTATCTGGAGGTTACATGTGATGGATTCTAGACATCAATGCCACTATTGCATCTTCTTTGCTGATTTTAGCATTACTCTATTGTGATTTTTTATCTAGATGTACGACCCTAGTCTAGAGTTCTGAGTTCTTGGTGAGCGAAAGTGTTCAATTCTGGTGGTTTACTTAAGCCATATTTCTAAACAAGAATAGCAGTATTTATTTTGTTTCTTTTGAGGTTGGTGCTGTAATCTGCGCTTAGTCTGTTAAATCCATTAGAGGCATTTCCCAAACGGTTTTGATTCACTTCATCAGTAGCTAAATGTTGTTCTATTTCTGCATGTGAAAGTAAGCAATTACAGGATCTGTGCCTTAGATCCAAAATGCAAATATTTTTTCCATTCATCTGTGAATTATTTGAGTGTCAGCGGTATCCATTAACATCACACACCATAAAAATGCCTGCATTTCATTGAGAAAAGGTAGTTTTGGTACAGTGTCTTTTCTTTGATGGGGCCAACACTGGATCTTCAAGAAAGCATGCCATCTCAGCTTCCTGCAAGGTGTTTATTGTGCAGACCCTTTGAAATCAGATGTTATATCATGCTTTGTAATTAATAGCACCCCAGAGTGGATCTTTTTGCCATTACTTGTATTTTATTCCTTTGAAATACAGAGCGTTTTGTAGCAAGAAGTTCTAAAGTTTAACTGTGGAGAATGCGGGGGGAGAAAAACAGCTGTTTTTTTTTTTCCTGACTTTGCTACTGTATCATTAATTTGGTCTTTATTCTTGTACTGTGAAAAACTGAGTCCTAGGAATCATGCAAGTAGTAGATAGTGTGGGACTGCTTGTCTTTGACAGTGAATTTTATCTGTTCATCTTATTCAGTTTCATAAGGCTCTTCTGCAGCAGGTGACAGTCAATTTTTGTTTTGATTAACATCTGTAATTCAGTATCATCAGAAAATATCCATTTTTATTCTTCCATTTTCCTGATTGTTCATGCATATTGGACAGACATTTGTTAAAGTGCCAGGTAATAGCAGCCACTGTATAGGAAAGCAACCGATTATTAACTTATAAAAAGAAAAAACTAAGAGTTCATTTATCAAAGCAAAGATGCTTGTATTTCCTGGTATCTTTCTTCGTTTTCCTCCCTGACAGCAGAATAAGCCTGTGGTAAATCACTTCCTCAGAAAGGAAAGTGGAAGTGAAATTTCTAAAATGGAAGCTCACTGTATCAACCAGATCACCTGTATCTACATGATCACTGGAAGAACATGTCTAGATTCCTGGGCTGTGACCTCCGAAAGTCATACTAACAGTTTCCCATTAGGCAGTGTTACTATGTGTGTGTTTATTCTGCCCTTAAGCATATTTTCTGGTATTTTTCTGCCGTGGATCAGTCCTACTTGCATTGCTTCTACAAACAGCTTCACAAACACTGTCAAATATTGGTATGTGTGTGCTACCCTCCATTCCTCTGGTCTTGAAGCCAATAGCATTTAGCAGTAATTACTCATTGAATTATAGCTCAGCAGTTCTCTTTCTCTTCATAATGTTCTTGCTTCAAGTTATCTTCTCATTTTCGATTAAAGCAAAATCTACTATGTTAGAGACTTCTTCAGAACTGTCATATTGTTCACCTGCTAAAAAATGACAGACATGTCACCATGCAAATAATGTATTTAATTAAATGAGCCTTCATTCCAGTGCATTGGAAAATTTGAAGGTGGGGTCCTCTTGCTTCTTAATCAAAAATATTATTGTCTTCCCTCTAGCCGTTTCCTCTCCTTACAAAATGAATTTGCTGTTTTCCATTTTGGCAAAAGCATAAACATTTGTACTAGTTCTAGTTGGAATATATAGTAGCATTTAGTAAAGAGAAAGGAATTCGTCAGCTTTGTTTGTTCTTCACCTGGGTGGAATGTTTAGGCATGTACAAGTATCATTGCTTAACTGCCCTCCCACCAATACTGTGTAAATATTTTTGAAGTGGTATTACAGTAATACTGTTGTTTGGCTAGAAGTGTGTGGGACACAAATCTTTATCTGCACAATCCATATATTTTATCAGACAAATTTGTGATGCTATAGTAACAGCAATGTAATGCAAAAAGTACCACTGTTGCTTAGGGTGCTGTCTCATCTAGAAACTTACCAAAAGCACAGCCATTCTTTAGAAGCTAATGGTCTGTTTTTAGCATTGGACAGTGCTTTAAATTAGAGATAAACATTGAAAATTAATGTTTGCATATTCCATTCAAGAGAGCAGATCATTTCACTTCTTCCTTCCCAGTGCTGCTTTTGGTGTATGTAGTGTATTTCAGGCAGATACAAATAATGCCATGTCTAGATCCAGACATTCTTTCGTACTCCTCTGTCATAGCTCTCTAATAACTGAGCTTCCACCATTTTTCCTTTAAGACTTCTCTATATTTTCAAAAAAGGACACATCAAAATCACTTTTGTTATGATGAAGAGAATGGAAAAAAGGCATATTTCCTTTTGCATTGCCCTGAGATTGCTTACATTTAACCCACAGATCCAAGCGTTGTAATACATAACTTGAGAATAACACAGAGATAAATGGGACTGGTTGTGTTTTGGTGAGCTGGATTTTTCTTCTCTTCCAGTCTTTTATGAGTTTGGAAGTCAAAAAGAGCTTATCTGTCTCATCTCCCCAGGAACTACACAGAAGCTCTTACACCCAGGCACTTAGAAAACCAAATATTCTACAGTTTATTGTGATTAGCAAATATAGCCAAGGAGATCAGTGTTAGAAATAGCAGGGATGTAGAAATTTAGGAATAATAGGTGCAAAATTATGCTGGACACAGTTCAATTCTCATTTGAAGACCTAGCTGCACACTTTCATGGTCTCTAACTGTGCTGGCAGCTTAAAATGAAACAGTGAATATGAAATTAAAACCTTCTATATGGTAACAAGGTGGGCTTTTGCCTTTATTAGAGGTAAGTCTGCATTTATGCCTCCTTCTTAAGTACAGTTGATGAGCAGTTTTGATTTCTTAAGCTTTAGTTCTACAATTTGGTTGATTAATTAGAGTACTAAAACTAAATGTTTTACAGCTTTTAGTCTTGTTTTAATCTGGCTTCTCGGTTTGTTTCACTGTTCAGCTGCATAAATGTGCATGCCAGAGAGGGGAGAAATGTGCAAGAGGAGGGAAAAAAAGATGGAAATAATATGGTGAGTTGGTTCTTTCAGTATCAGTGCCAGCTTAGCATAGCTTAAACTGTGGAACTTGACTGTGCTAAGCCACTTGATTCAGGAAATGGGATACAAAACAGTGCCTTGTAACCTACATGACTGAGAGGTGTTTGTGATTATTTTAAGAAAATATTATTCTTTTTTTGCTGAGAAATATTGGTTGATGCTATAAGCAGTGTTTCAGAGTTCAGGTCAGAGGTTCCAGAGATGTCTGATATCTTCTGACATTGTTTAGAAATATAAAACTAATAATACTATAATCTATGACTAGAGTAGTTATTATCTCTCTGGAGACAATCTGTTGCCTGCCTGCCCTCTGACACTGTCTGAGGCCAGAAAAATCCAAAAGTAAAAAACAGCCAAAGGAAAATCAAAGTTATTGTGTTTCCCATCCACTACTTGTTCAATATTGCTGCCCCCCCGACCAGCAGGGATCAGAGTTTATTCCATTACTGAGTGTGTGACAAGCTTTTTATGGGGTAGCTGCCACATCCAATGCAGACATGAAGTCACAGTGTGACAACCCACAACAGCTTGTACTTCTTCTGGGCACACCTTTGGAATTGTAGAATCTTTGCATATTTAGCAACCTTAGGCTGATCTTCCACACCTCTGTGAAATACGTAAGCAGGATCTTCGTGTTACATCCAAGATGAAGCAGTAAGTGTGTATCCTGGTTCTAAGATAAGTTTCATGCTGCCTTTGTTTTGGATATGGTCATCAATTTATCAGTTCACTACACAGTTTTCAGCAGCAGTTATGCCCATTACCTAGTAGGATGTGTTTCCCCAAATGATCAGATAGATCGTGCTTCATTCAGACCTTGCTCCACATTTGAAAAGTCAATAGTAAAGCCCTGAGAAGTCTTGTGTGACCTTTGAGTACTCTTAATCTTACTTCAGAGAGCAATGACCATTGTTGGGCCACTTTGTGCAATCCATGAAGTGCAAGAAGATGAGATAAGAAGCCTAGACCAGAGTGAGAGACAGGTCTGGTGCTCCATTTTCTCAAAGAAATTGTATGCTTGA